ACAATAAACCCAATTTATAGGGCATGGGCAGTGGAAGGATTACACAGCCTTCCCAAATATAAGGTTATCATGGACTGGCAAGCTATACAGACACCTGTTTTCTTTGACAACACAAGTTTCTGTTTTAGAAACATCCACTACATCTCAAATATAAGGTTATCATGGACTGGCAAGCTATACAGACACCTGTTTTCTTTGACAACACAAGTTTCTGTTTTAGAAACATCAACTACATCTCAAAAATAACTACCCAGTTGAGAAAGTTTATGAACTTTAGTCACAAAGTTACAGTTGTTAGTTAAGGCAAATAAGATTCCTTTTGCACTTTTGAGGTGACAACCACTGAGACAACAGTGACTTTCAACCTTTAATAATCTTGGTATTTTCTTGCAGACTTCCATCCTCAGACTTATCCATGAATGTTAGGTTGATCAACAATTCTTTATAAGCTTGAATTGCAAGGTGAAGCCTGAGGAAACATATAATTAAAAAAAAAGATTGTTGATTCTTAACTTTGGATACTCCTCCACTTTCCATGAACCAATAAGTTCATTGTAGGTCAGTGGTAAAGGATAAGACTGCAGTGACCCCTGACTTAGAAGCTTTCCTTTTTCACGCTATTGACTCATTCAACTACTATAAGCTCAAACATTTTCTGTCTCTATACACATTAAGTATGGTAATTAAAGTAGCTAATCTGTGTTTAGAGCAATTTTCAATTGAATGTTGAAAGTAATTTGGGATTGCATTGGTTTTGCCTTACGTCACTCTTTGATTTGTCCACAAAACTTTCCTTGCTCTCTCAACAAATCACATGCAAAACTTAAAACAATCACAACTTGGTCAATCCTGGGCCTTTTCACACTTTTAGAAGTTTGCCTGTTTTCACACTGGGATTTCATTGGCTCTTAAAGGGATTTTTCATTCCTTCTAATTGGCTGTTATGATTTCTTTCAAATTGGTTTTAGTTCTACAATACTAAATCACAAATTGCTTTTACTATTTATAGTGTTACACTGCTTACATCTAATTTTAGCATATAAGTTAACAATTATCAAATGAAAGTTATTATTGTTTAGCAATCCTATAGTAGCATGCAGACAAATGAGTTTAAAATATGCCACAATCTAACTAATCACAGAAAATCTTGGAAAAAATGTTATTGTCTTTTAATACATGAAAAAACCAAAGGTGCCAGCCAATAATAGATGGATTTTGATCCAGGAACTTCCTCCTTGGCACAGATCAGGATTTCAGTGACAAAAAGCTCCAAGTTTCATTCCTTATTCTTACCTACGCCCCCATATAGAGGCTTCACTCTTGTTTGATTCCAAGCCATCATAAAACTTGACTATGACATTTAAAAGGTCAGTAAAGGTAACCACACTGAGCGTTTCACTGAAAAAAGTGACAAAATCGAAAGGTTGCAACTGCTGCTAATAAATAAAAATATACAGGTCTAAGTTTGAGATGAAGAGCGAGGGGTAGTTCCCCCCCCCCCCCTTCAATCCCAAAAGTGACCACAGATGGCTTTTCTCTACAGCATTGATACATTTTCAAACAGAAGAGTGATAAAAAGACAGAAAAACATCAACAAAGGGTCAGGGTTGTGTGGCACTTAACCCCACCCACTTCATTCACTAATTCTTACCCTTCCCACCATTATATAATAAGCTACATGTATCACAAGAAATAAAACAGAATTATACAAAAAGGAAAATGTTTCAATTGATAACAATAGTGGAAAGTTTTTCATCTGTACCTGATATAATCCACTCGAAAGTCATGATGTCTGCTGAATTCCATGAAAAACCTTCAAGAAATAGAACTATTAGCTGCAATGCTCTTTACATCAACATAGGACCAAAGCAAGTGTCTTAAATACTGGAACAGTGGTTTGCAGCAGAAAAAATTTATTAATAGCACTACCAAAATGTCAGTGAGTTATCAAACAATTGTGTCTATGTTGTACAGTACAGATTGAAAACAACAGACTTAGTTGGAAGTGAGATTTAAGTTTTCAATTGCATATTTTACTACTTAATTGATGGAAGTGAAAAATTTTAGAGAGAGATTCATACCTCATTGCCCATAAGAAGTAAGATTCATCATTTTCTTGAGATCTCCCATGTTTGATATTATCCTAGGAGTATTGAAGATGAATTCACTTTTGTCAAAGAGCTCATTCATTAAAAACAGTGCTTTTAAGTTTGATTACATTTTATCTAGTCATGAAAATACAACAAATTGTGATCAATGTGAAAGTGCTTGGATTTATACATTTAATTGATATCCTTTACAGTGTTAATTGTGGACTGAAGAAGTTTAAGCAGCTTACCTTTACAATGTTCATGAGTGGATTGTAGCAATTTTGCAGAAACTCCTTACAAAAATTCTTTAAAAACAGCCTAAAAAAAACCAAAGTAATACATTCTGATGGTTGGGAGACTATCGCATGTTTGGAAATTGCAATGTTCATCAATCTAATTAAGAAACCTACTGCAAAGTCAAGTACCTTATGCTCAAAGTAGATCTCCTTTCTTCTCCCATTTCTTTAGCAAGCAGTTGCTTTTTCCTCTTCTTAGGTGCTGTTTTGTTATGGTCAAAACTCATGTTTTTCACCTCTAGTTTTGCAAGAAAGCATTGTTTCATTAGATCTTTCATCAATAGAATACAACAAAACTGATCCATACATTTTAATTATACTAAGCTTCAAGGTCAATCATATGTGCTGTGGAAATTATGACAGTGAAATGAACTCTAACTAGGACCTGCAGACCCTAGCAACATGTCTTAAGATGGCCTGATACAGTTTTGAGGCTTTCAATCACCACTTTTTTGTATTAATTGTACTACAAGTTTAAATATGCTTTCTTGACAATATGTATCAATCAAATTCCTAATTATTAATGAAAAAATTGTGATCATTGTTTCAGCACATGCTGCCACCAAGTTACCCTTACCCTTACCCCTCCATGAATCCAGTGACCTCAATTTTTGTTATTGATAACATCAGTCATAATTCTTTAAATTTTTCATAAAAGAAATCTTTTAGATTTTGTTCAGAATCATCTAAAATTATTAAAAGATTGCAGTGGCTCTGGACATACTTTAAAGGTTATCAAATGTATCTGATCCATGAAATAACATTGTAACAGAAAGAGGTGGAATCAGTTTGAGCCTCCTGCAATAGTGCAGCTCAAGAATAAAAACTGGTTGGATTTTTAATGTGCCAGGAACCTTTCAGCACCCACTCTGCACAGGCCAAATGCCATTTCTATGGTGACTGATACAAACCATTGTTTCTTAACTTCATTCTGTCTAAAAGTAAAGCATTAACACTCACCAGCAAGTGGTCTGTGATATACAAGCTGATTTTTATCATTTATGGATTTCATATTCTGGACATAGAATGTTCCACCAAATCTGGAATGTCTAAAGTGGAAAGTAAAGTGTATCACAAACAGCTGCAGCTAAATCATCTGAATTCAGGTCAGACATGTTTCTAAGTTTCTATTCATTTGTAATATTAAAAACAAACTGCACTGAAGGTTAGGCCTATCATGACCACTTGAATTAAACAAACTTTGAAAGGCAGATTCTTTACATATAGCTGTAAAAACAAATATTTTTGTTACAGTAACTAACCTTCCTGAAAATTTCCTTGCATTGTTTAACTTTTCTGCAAGTTCTTGCTGCCGAATGATCTCAAGCTGCCTGTGATAACAATGAGAGTAGTCAAATTCAATGTAAAATCACTCTCTTTGAGTACTTCACTGAGAAGTATTGGGAATCACACTGTATGATTATTCTATTGTAAAATGAGTATTCAGTAGTTGATTTGAAGCCATAGGTAATGGAAAGAACTATAGTATGATCACACAGGTGAGATGTCAGTAACAGTAAGTATCACCATCAATAATTTTTTTCATCTAACCCTATGCCACCACAGCTCTCACCTGAACAATCACAATCACTGTGTCATCATACAGGTGACATGTCAGTGACAGTAAGTATCACCAATAATGACCCTTTTCACAACTACTCCCATCTGAACAACCACAAAAACAGGATTGATTATTGTTGTAAATACAATGGAAAAATGAAATGGAGAAACATAAATTCTATAATTTACTCCACTCAAAATGAAAAAATTAATTCTATTCTTGGTTCACACAAATTTAGACAACCTAGAACAAGAACTATTTTTGTATCTTCCTTACCTTTCATCATCCTTCTTTTCACTTCTTGATCTTCCCTCACCAGCTTTTGCCAAACTCTCTGGGTTCTACCACAAACACAAAAAGCAGAGCAAAATCTGCGCTGACAACAGGCTGGAAAAATTGGGAATTACAGTGTAATTTTTGCACTTTTAAACACTTTTCCTATTGTGTTTTGTTGTCATTTCAGATTAAAGATGTTTATACAGGTTATAGGCATGTAAAAGCCCAATCTCCAATAATATTCAAGGAATTCACATTCTATCTCAAGCACATGCCATTTTGTAGTCTCATCTTAGATAGTCCAGGCTCCCTCACACTCAATCATTCTGCAAGATTTGAAAACTAACCTGTTCTCTGAGCATCAGTGAAACAATTTCTAATATATGCATACTCCATCGCCTCTACAAGAAAGATGATGAACACTTATTTGGTAAAGAATATCAATATTACAATAATTACCTCACTATGGCATGCATCATCACAAAGATTTTTTTTATAAGATAACAAAAATGAAAGACAAAATTAATATATTTGCTAAGATGTGACCAGTTAAGAGTGGCCCTTAAGTAATAAAAATGGCACTCCAGATAGAAATTATCTTCATCTCATTGTAAACAACCATTTATCCACAGAGCATATGGGCTATATAAATTATCTTTTGTGGGTTTAAAGGAAGTGGAGAACATGCTATAACACTCTACACAAGACAAGGCCACTGGTTCTATTCTTCTTCAAACCAACACCCCTTAAATCATTTAAGCTCAAGATGGTCAATCTCATATATTTAGATGTTCTGCACATTACAAAAATAAACATGGTTATTATCTACCTCATCTGGGGAACATGCCACAAAGAGAAGAAGATCATCAATTCCATTAGTGTGGAGATTCCTGTGTAAGTAAGGCAAAAAGCAAATCATAATTTCAGCTTTGTAGCTGGCTTTTAAAAAAGCACTTCCTTGCATGAGACATACAGAAAGAAACCTGATGTTTGTCCTAAACATGAAAGCAAGTACATCAGGAAGAGTACAATTAGAACAGAAGAAAGTATGATATGTAGGGATGTATTCAGAAACACAGTCTGACAAATATCAAGAATTGTGCTCTTTATGTTGTGTAATTAATTTCATATCAAACAATGAGTACACTCATGTTTTCACATGGTTCCTAACTAACCATATAACTTGATCATGGATGCTGGCATCATCATCTGTTCTCTAAAATGAAGACAACCAACAGTTCTCACCAACATATGATACACAGTATAATTATATCTGATAGTAGTTATCAAATTGAAACAAATATTTTCTCAATTCCAAATCAGTTCCCAAACATCAGCTCTTCGGTCTTCAGTCTATGTTTCGGAAACTAAAGTGGCCACAGGAAATCCAATTCTACTATTTTCTCTATTAAACATGCCTATCACAGTAGATATAAAATGACAGTTCTGGCTCAATACAAAACCTAGGATAAACAATGTTTTGAGCTTCACCCAAAACAATGTTTATCCCTGGTTTTGCACCATCCTAGAAAGTGTCTTATATATCTACTATCACTTAGACAAACATGGAAATCTCAAATCATAATTTTTTCAAAAAATTATGACACATTAACTTGTAAATGTTAAGTATCAACAAATTTAATCATGCAGGATCAGCAGCAATGTTGTATCTTCTTATGAAGAGATCATGGTGTGCTGCTACTTCTCCACAGTGAGATCACGCCTTTTCTTCTCTTCTACAGCACTATGCTGGTCTCCACTCAAATACTTTGTGAGATAGCTTCCACCAACTAAGGCAGTCACATTGATGAGCGCTCCTCTAATCATCATTGTTATGCTTGCCATTTTATTTATCTGCACACTCATTGTTGAAAATTGACAACATATATTCATCATGAAACTTTTGACAAAGTTCTTCCCCTTCAAGGCTTGGATCTGCCTCTATATCACTGATATAGAATATTAGGACAGTCTTGATGATTTTGCAGACTTCTGCTAACTTAATTGTAAATCTTTTGATCTCCAAGACACTGTTTTGCCACTATAGATGCAGTGATCACAACAATGAACTTCACATAGTTCATGAGATTTGAACTTGGATCAGAAGTCATTGGTTTCTTTATGACTTTCTTTGCAACCCATCCGATTGTGGCAGCCAATCCAGTCAATGTAGCTGAGGCAGTCAATGTTTTCACAGGCTTATTATCAGACATTTTATTTTGACAAACAAAAAAAAAGTCCATTGGCTTTACTCTTACAGGAAGCCTCACAGGGGTAAGCCCTGAAGGGCTTGAGCTCACTTTGCTGTGCTTGAGCCTGTGGTTTTGGTTTATTAATGAGAGCCATCAACTCTTTTCTTTTATAGTAAAGTCGAGCCAGTGAGAACTAAACTTGCTACTGAAAGAATTTGAGTGAGTGAGAATGACGATGATGTTTCCTAGTTCTGGTTCTAATCCTTCCGATTGCTTTGAACCACCTTTCTTCTTCTTTTCCTCCCTCACCCTTCTGTTGTATTCAGCAAGCTTTTTGCCAGCTTACTTGGGGCTTTTAGTGGACTTCTACGAGGTCCATTCAAAGGCTTGGCCCTTCAAGTTTAGCGCTACACAGCCCAGCTCAAAGAGCTTGAGCTGGTGCTTCTTCAGTCTTAGTTTCTTTATCCCTCATTTTATTTGTTAATAAATAATTTTAAGTCCTTATTCAAGTTCTCCAAGTACTTGAAAAGAATATATTCAGTTTCTTCACAAATGCTATATCCTATGCTGATAGGATCTGATAAGACACAACTTGCCTATGAATTGACTACCATCAGGCTTGAGTATGAAATCATTCACAGTCAAGAACTTGCTGATAAGGCCTTGTCTAACCACACAAATGGAAGAGATTCATGTACAAGCACATCACTCAGCTCAAGACAATCTCTGTCAGTAGATAAGGGCTCAGACACAATGATCAATGAGAGCATCAATGTCCCAAGGAGGTCAATGACAGGACTTCTTTTTTACAAGCCATATGTTGCTGGTGCTGAAGACAGTGAGAAGACATTCAATCCTGACATCACTGAAGTGAAGGCAGTAGTGGATAGAATTCTGAACAGGGTTTACAGTCAAGGAGTGGGAACAAGAAATATTTGGGAAGAGGTCCTCAGGAGATTTGGAAAGGAAAACAGCACAATGAATGCGACAGACTTTCATCAATCTCAGGAGTATGAGAAACAATGACCTTCATGCAAGTGGATTGAGACTTGGGAATACGAAAGAAGGAGTTCAGCTTGCAATTAACAGGAAAGTGTCAGGCTCAGAGAATGTGAAATATAACATCTTCATCCTCTCAGATGCTCAGCTCAACATCATCAACAGAGAGCTTGAAAGTGTGACTTATAACTAATATAATTTCTCATTTAAAAAGACACTCTTTTGACAGGAGAACAAATCAAGGCAAGCCCCAAAGGAGCTGGGCACAGAGTGGCACACCATGACTTCTTCATAAGAGGATAAAACATTACTGCTGGTCCTGTTGTATGATAATTTGTTCTGATACTAAAGATTGATAAGTTAATATGTCATAATTTTTTTGAAAAAATTATGAAATAAGATTTCTGTGTTTGTCTCAGTGATAGTAGATATATAATGATATGTTCTGGGATGGTGCAAAACCAAGGATAAACACTGTTTTGGCCAAAGCTCAAAACAATATCTATCCTCGGTTTTGAATTGAGCCAGAACTATCATTCTATATCTGTCACCATACTTTTTGCTTGCAAATTAAATTTCTCTGAGATTTATAGGATTGTTTTGGCCAAAGCTCAAAACAATGTCTATCCTCGGTTTTGTATTGAGCCAGAACTATCGTTTTATATCTGTTAACATACTTTTTGCTTGCAAATTAAATTTCTCTGAGATTTATAGGATTGTTTTGTTTGCAGAGTACTGAAAAAGATGCAACAAAATGCCAGGAAATTTTCTGCTGGTCAGGAATGAAGAAATTTAAAATAAAAAAAGAAAATTGCAGTCAGAAGGGGAAAATATGGTCAACTTGCAGTGAAACCCTACTCTGCAGCAACTTTTGTGACTGACCACCTGGCCTGCAAGTGACCATTTTGTACAAATACAAAATGTATTCCTTTGAAATCACACACTACAGTGAGTCCTGTGGTCAACAGGCTATGACCCTAAGTCTGAAAGATCTGGGTTTAACAGGCTAGGACCCAAAGTTGGAAGTCCTGTGGTCAACAGGCTATAACCTTAAGTCTGAAAGGTCTGGGTTTAACAGGCTAGGACCCAAAGTTTGGAAGTTCTGTGGTCAACAGGCTATGACCCAAAGTCCAAAAGTTCTGGATTCAACAAGCTAGGACACACAGCCTAATTGTTCTTTGGTCTCACTGGCACAGGTGACTTGTGAGAGGTTCAACTAGCTATGATTTTTTTTATCCCAGTCATTGCATGGCAACTTCTATTTCATAATAAAATAAAAATAAAATAAAAATTGTACGACAAAAGATACAAAGAGTAGTGTGCATTAGAAATATCAATATTAACATGTACCTTTTCTGCTTGCTTATTTGCTGGTATGTGGAGAATGTTTCTTATCAACAACAGAATTCTCTCAATCAATAGGGAGTCTTCTTCTAGCCTGTCATCCCATTCCTAGAAAAAATAACAATTCATAAAGTCACAAACAACAAAAGAAGGCAAAGCATTTATATGCATCTCAAAGTGGAGAGGTAAGTGAGTAATATGCAGTTGACATCACATCAAGACAAGAATATCAAAATCAAGCTTCTTAGGGGAAATTGCCCAACTATTTCTTATGGAAAAGACAAGACTATGCGTATAATATTTCAATTAGCTTTTTATGTTTCTCTTTGTCTTGTATCCATTTCAGTCATGATCTGAAATGGGTGAAAATGAAAATGCATTGAGAAATTTAACATGGAAAAATTTGACCTTTACATGTTTTTGTCTAATGTTTCTCAAAAGAAATATATACCATCTGAAGCAGCCTTCCCAGCTCGCGTCCAATAACTGACATCACCTCTTTTGCTGTAAATGCCTGAAAGGGCAACAAACATTAACTACCTTCTTCCAGAAAAAATAACTTCTTTATTTCATGTATGAGAAAAATTCAGCTCACCAATTCAACAATTTCTTAAACTTGAAGATATAAATTATACCTCTTTATAGGCCTGCAGCTGAGTAACAAGATCCAAGTAGTAATGTTGGCCTGTTTTGTCATCAGGAATCTTATTTTCAAAGCAAAGCACAGCCGGCTGAGTTAAGTTTACCATTAACCTAAAAATGGAAAATCTATTTTCAAAGCAGAGCACAGCTGGCTGAGTTAAGTTTACCATTAACCTAAAAACAGAGTATGTAATTAGTGAAAGATAATCAATTTAATGATATATATTGAATGATACATCATATATCCCATACTACCCCATGTATGCTTTTGTTGAAAAGTATTATAAATATATCCTGAAACAGGTCATTGCTGGATTACAAAGGAGAGGACTATAAAGGCACACCACCTTGCACTTTTGCTGGTGCAGGTGGAAGGTAAATATATATTACCTGATCAGAGTTCCCATTGATCTCATGTTCAATAAATTACCTTATAACCATATCAAATATTTCTCCTTCCTTAGATGAACAACTCTTAAGAATGGCAACAAGATCCTGAAAAAATATGATGTAAAATTAATACAATTCTAGATATCCAGGAGTTTCTAATCATCATTCAAGTAGCAGCCTATTTTAGTGTGTTAAGTAATTTTCTTTCAATGTTGACAAGCACTTAATTATTTGCCCTATCAATGGCATCATTGTTCTTTTACTAGCATCTAATATTCACATACATTTTGCAATACTTCTGAATATCCCAGTTGACGTCTTATCTCACAGGTGGTGTCATCACGGCGTAAAAACCTAACAAGGTCCTTAAGACTCTCTGAAAAGTGTCAAATAATTTTTTTATTAATGAGTGTTAAATTCTAAATTCAAATGGACTTCCAAAGTAGTTGTAACTGCTCTGCCATTTCATTTATATTCTTGTGTTACTGACTTTTAAAGAGAGAACATGAAAACTAAAAAGAGTTCAAGTTCTCAAGTTATTGAGATTGATTTTATTTTTTTAAGGAAAAAATCAAATAGACTATCATCTGCAAGGGTCATACCAAAGGTTGATTGATTTCAACATTTTCAAACCAGGGATTCTTGGAAAGATTGACATCTTGATCTCAAATTGATCATGCAATACTCAATACTTAAAAATTATTCACCACAGTGGAGGTGAACAGTGGTGGAAATTCACCAAGAATCAAAGAAGTAAATGTCCATCACTCTCATTGACAAAGATTACATAGATATCAAAAAATATTTATTAATATCAGTATACCGCAAAATGATCTGAAATTAAACTCTTGATTTTGTCTCTTTGACTGCTCAGAGGTGAATAGTACTTCCTTATCACCTTCAAACTAGCCAATCTGCACAGGTGAAAAATTTCATCCACCTCTGTGGTATATATTAAAACTGGCAATTGCTGGAAAAAAGTGACCAACCTACCAAGACAATCTGGACTTTTGTAATAGTCATTGCCTTCTGAATACCCAAGACCTGCAAGGGTACATACGATTTCCGTGTTGAGGTAATCTCCCAGATCGTTTAGACTTTCCATCTCTGTAAATAAAAAAAGAACCTGACGGTTTTAGTTTTGAGAAATAAAAATGCAATTAATTAAAAAAAAAAAAAACAAACATATGGAACAGGTCATCAAATTCATTGCGTGAGAACCCGAAGGGGAGATGAAAATTCGTGCAATACATTTAGCTCTGGCTAACAGCGGCTTTTACATAGAAATCACATGGAACGAACCCATTACGATGACTACATAACTAAATATGACAAAATTCGTTGTTACTTGTTCTTAATTCTTTGAGCAAAAAGTATAAGCTCAACTGTAGAGTGTTTAAGAAGCGATGTTGAAGTAAAGAGTCACCCACATGTATAATATGTACACAGCTTAGTAAAACGATCATTAGCTGTTATTCACGTCACAAGGCAAACTCACCTGAACTACTTGAGGGGAATTCCTTTTAGACGCTCAAAGCCCATAAAAATAATCAAAACGCCAGTAAAGGAACAATTCTAATGGAACGATCATATAAAAACATTGTAGATTCACATATTCAGCGCTGAAAAACGCGCCAAAATTACTGCCTCGTTCTAGCGCGACTTTACTAAGCGACCGCGCTATCTTTCGACCATTAACGTTTGTTTAGAGAAGTTAGAGTTAGATCTGACTCTTAAAGTTATGATAACAATGCACTCAGAAGCAGCCAACGTTCTTTCAGGAATCGGCAAGCTTGGAAGTATGGTTATAGAACACTTAAATACAGCTTTGTTTTAATTTATCATAGGTTAACGTGTTCTGAAGCATGTTTGTAAGGTCTTAAAGTAACATTTCACTGAATCATGATAACCTCGTCGTTCAGGGGAGAAGGGACATTAAGTTGTTATTAGATTTGGCACGAGAGGGAAAACTTGATCGCTAAAAATGCGAGGGGGAGAGCAATTGTAAAATAACTCAAATTCTTGGATGTATCAATAGTACAATCATGACGCATGTTATTGTTGATGGGCTTGCAACTAAACAATTCAAGTGGACCAAGAGCTGATTGAAATTTACTTAACTGTTAAATTTTAATGGAAACTGGCTGCTCATCTCGATACGATCAAAACCATTGTACCAGAATGGTTTCACCCACAAAAAACATTTTACAACATAATTCAAAAGCACCTGAGCAATTATACTTAAACAATCATTTGCCTCAGGCTCATTGAATATTGTTCAATAATTCCCTTGCTTTTTGGGATCAGTATTGGGATTATTCAACAATATTCACCTCGCCTTTGGGAAAATTGTTGTGGAATATTGTTGACAGATGCACGGATGATGTCACCACAATATTTTTCATTTTTGTCATATAAACAAGCAGATGTGATGTTGCTGTGGGTCTCAGTACAGTAACAGATCACAGAAGACATCAAAATGTGGTGAGAACATCAATGACACACTCAGCTGTGCCAATTTTTTGTTCTTATCATATTTTGACAACATCTGTGACCTACATGTATCATTACACAGAGGCATGACAACATGGAATCTATTGGTAATTATGCTCAGGATGTAGAGAGACTGTGAGACTCTCTAAGTGTCATGCCGAAGACCATAACTAAATAATCTGACCAGGTCTTCAACCCAGACCTCTGAACCCAGAATCCAGTGCTCTAACTGATAAGCCTCTGGATCTCCCACTTTTTTTGTATTTGGCCAAGGGCTTTACTGATATTTGATGTGACAGTGATTTAATAGAAGAATTAGTAGATAGGTATGGATTAAATGGGAAAAATTGAGAAGAAAAACAACAGTATTGTTATTTTTTGTAGGCCAGCGGAAGAGTTCTGAAGGTGGGAAAAAAGGCCATACTCAAGAGAAAGACCCTCTCTTGGTGGATAAGGCAACACTACCTGTAGGTGTTCTTGGAGTGTATTTGTAGTTGAGGGGGTTATTGGACTAATAATTTTAAAAAGGTTTATAGATGGCTACATGAGACAAGCAGAGTAATGAGTATAATTTACACATGTCTGTGAACATTTTGTACAGGGTTCTAATTTTTACTGGTTCTGGTTTCCCTAATGGGAAGATGAAACTCTTGGTTGGTAAATTTTTAGAGAAAGTTGCCAATTTTGGTGACCATGCATTGAAGATGTTCAGTATTGTAAAAAATGTCCTGTTTTGTCATGTTTGTTTTGTGTTGTTTTTCTCAGAGAAGTTAGGGAGATTCTGATTAGAGTGGGAAAAGTTATGGTAGACACAGTGACAAACAATTTTCTAAGAGTTTAATTGGCAACTTAAAAAGTTATTTCTGCCAATCATCTTATGATTTTAAGACCCCAGAAGGAGAAATTAAAAAAGATAGTTGAGCTTGGAGCCCTGCTCAATGGCACACTTAACTTTGTGTTTGAACAATATTACTGATTAATTCGTTTGTTATAGACAGGTATTTTTGCTGTTCATGTGTTTGGCTGCCGCAATTTGTACCTTGATGCAAACTTCCCCCCTGAACACTTTGGAATATATGTCCAAATAACAGTTGGCTTAATTACAAAATGCACTTCACTACAGTTTCCTTTCAAAAAAGGCTGTGTGGTGTGGGATGAGATCAAGAATTTCTCTGTTATTGTAAGTGCTACATCTGTTTCAATGAGTTAAAGTACTTCTTCTGCATTTTTCCCTCTCCAAAATTCTGTGAGCATGTTAATTCCAGGTTGTTGTAGTCATGTACTTTTACTGGTATCTATACTTTCATTTTCTGTTATTCGGTACTCAATAAGATCATCTGTAAAACAGAATACTTTCTTTTGGTTAAACCTTTAACTCCTATAACCAACCAAAATAAATTCTGTCATTACAGTATCAATACCATATCAAGCAAACAAGTGATGAAAATTAAGAAAAATATCAATAAAAGGATTATTTAACAAATGTAGAAGCAATCCTTGCAATTATGAATACTACTTAACTGGTAGTGAAAATATGACCTGAAAAAATTCAGACCCATATGGGATTTGAACCCATGACCTAGCAATACTGGTACATTGCTCTACCAACTGAGCTAACAAGCCAATTGGGAGCTGGTCATTATGTTGGTAACAAATAAAGCCT